GTTACGGTTCGACTCACTGGCCATCTGGCGTAGCCACTGCCTCATGGCTCTTACGACCGCGCTCGACTAGCCTTTCACCACCAGCAGCAACCTTCGCCATTTGCCGCGCAGCGATCAAGCAACCTCCAATTCACGCTGCCGCACGGCAACCAAGCAACCTCCAGCCACGGCCGCATGCGGCCAGGCCACTCACCGCAACTAGCCTTTCTCCTTACCGGCGCGCGCCGCGCTACCTCACCGGTCAAGCAGCAACAGCAACCACGGTCCTTTTCAGGGCCAACAAATTGTTCCGAAGAAGTGGGTTGTCATAGGAGTAATGACAAAGACACACAACGTTAAGACATCCCCACAAAAGATTTAAGATTTTTGTCAATAATTAGTATATTGGTGTCATCTGCAAATAAAACAACTTTCGCTTCATGAACAGCTTTAGGCAAATCGTTTATAAACATTAAAAACAAAAGAGGTCNATTTGGAGACTTGGCATCAACATGGACAATTTCTACAAACTGGGATCTACCCGTAAGATATGATCTCATCAAAGAGAGTGAAATTCCTCTAAACCCATAAAGTTCCAATTTAGCCAACAGTAATTTGTGGTTTATCACATCAAAAGCCTTGGAAAGATCCAAAAAAATACCCAAAGCATAAAACTTATTGTCTAATGCTTTCTGAACATCCTCAATAAATGATTGCAGTGCTGTATGAGTTGATTTATTTTGTCTAAAGCCATTTTGGGCATCAGATATCAAATTATGTTTATTTAAGAAATTCACTACTCTGTTATATATTAATGTTTCAAAGATTTTAGAAAAAACAGGTAATAGTGAAATTGGTCTATAATTAGATAATTCTTGAATTCGTCCTCTCTTATGAATAGGGCGAACTTTGGCAATCTTCATCTGATCAGGAAAAATTCCAGTACAAAGAGACAAATTAAAAATAAATGTTAAAGGTTTACAAATAGGTTGAATACTAAGTTTTACTAACTTTTCTGGGATTTCGTCATAGCCCGCGGAGAGTTTACCTTTTAGTTTACTAGTCACCCTAAGTACCTCAAATACAAGAGTGGAAAAATACATGGAAAATAAAAATCAACGAAACCAAGTCAGTGCAAGTAAACTTCAGTCTAAGAAGAGAACAATGTCCTGCAGTTTTCTTTAATAACATACAAATACCTGAATCACCCAGCACAAAATACTTAGGTATTCATCTAGACAACCATCTAACCTGGTAGGAACACATTACTAAAAAACGCAAACAGATTGATTTAAAAATCAAGGATATGCATTGGATAATTGGAAGAAATTCCAAACTCTCATTAGACAACAAAAACTTACTTTACAAAACAATAATAAAACCAATTTGGGTATATGGAGTGGAAATATGGGGATATGCTAGCAAAACCAATATTTCCATAATCCAAAGATGTCAGTCAAAGATACTACGTATGATTACTAACGCCCCATGGGCTGTTTCCAATATAACACTCCATGAAGACCTGAAAGTGCTGCTAGTAAAGGAAGTCATAAAAGGGAAAAGCATAAGATACCTCAACAAAATAGAAGGACATGAGAATGTATTAATTCAACCGTTACTGGAACCACACAATGGACGAAGACTAAATAGGAATTGGCCAGCCGACCTGAGAGAGGGTTAACGAGGACTTATCTCTGGATAAGCCCTCTCCACACACGAAGAATTCTACAGCAAATTAGCTTATAGAATCAAATGTAATTCTGATCGCTAATATTATGTAAATAATAAAAAAAGATAATGCGCTTTTGCTGCAAGAAGGTTATATGAAATTCAATTTACAGAGGAGACTGTCACAACAGCAACATACTAGAATACTGCATCCTGCACAAATTATGTGAATCCTGCACTCTGTGAAAATATGTGATAAGAAGAGACTTCAATATTAATAAATATGTAACATGAAGAATATTGATTCTGGTTTCCTTTGTCTTTTTTCTCTTAACTAAAACACAAAGAAACATTATGTTCTGCCTTCATGTACCTACCTGAATTTGAATTTGAATTATTTACGTTCTGAAAATCCAAGTACAGGTTGACACCACAGAATAATGAACAAGTGTAAATACATAATATCCCTACAATAATAGCTTTGCTTGTAAAGTTAATACAGTAGTAATCGTACCATGCTAATTGGATATATACAGCACAGTCTGCAAATAAGCTTAAATAACTTTAGGTTTTGATGTGGAGTTCTGTCAGCACATTTAATTAAGACCAGATGGTTTTGAAGAAATTTAAATTTTGGAAATGGTTTTATAAAACTTTGTAAATGATGACATTTTTCCATGTGTGCATACCATGTTTATATCCTCTTCATAATCTTTGTGATATTCTGTAGCATTTAGTGTTAGTAAACTTACTGTCCCTGTAGTTATACAATTCCCTTAATCCATGACAAATTCATATGTGCAGAAACATAGTTGGCAGTTGGCATAGATAGTTAGCTTAGTGACTGATCTGTCCCATTATGTTTAATACTTATACTGCTCATAAAATGGACATTATACTAACCATTTGATTTCAGGTTCTGGAACGCCTCCAATTACACATGACAGTGTAACAGTCTGTTTAAGACCAATCACAACATTCTTGAGTGGTTCTTGAATTGTTGGAGGTTCTGCAGCAGCGGGTGCTGAGATTTTGATGTATCGAGTGTTGTGAGATGGAGGACTTGGGCCCACCTCATTCACTGCAGTTACTCTGAACATATACTCCACATTATGTAGCAAATTTATTACCTTGTGAGTTGTTTCCACTATACTGAAGTCTTCATTTACCTTAATCCACCTGAAAATATACATGTTATATTTGATTCAAATATTTACCTTATATATGGGTGTCCCAGGAGGAATGGTCAAAACTTTGGGAGGGTGTTCCTTATGTTAAAGTATGCCGATATAACCCAAAACACCTATGTCCAAAGTTGAACGGTTACGGATATAATGGCCCGAGAAACGTGTGGTCTTCTGGCGGGTCCACTCACTATACCTGTCAGCTGAGACCTCTTATCTGTTTGTCCTTGAGTGTCGTGATTCACACTAGCCATAAGCTCATGCGCTACCTACAGAGTACATTGCGGCGGGGTTGTGAATGGTTGGTAAATTAGTTGTGTGATGAGTTGCTGAAATGCCTATTGTGTTTTCACACGTGGAATATTGTGATATGCACTTTGTGTGTGGATTTTGCGGTGGCAATGCATGTGCTGCTGTTGAAGAATACCAAAGGCGTTTTCCCGATCGAAGGATTCCATCTCGAAGTGTATTTATGCGAATTCACCAGACATTGCGCGATACTGGTTCTCTTCCGAGTGTTTCTGTGCAGTCTGAAAGGGAGGATGTACAAATGATAAACACACGAGAGAACATTCTTGAGATGGTTCAGAGAAGTCCGTGTCTGTGCAATCGTAGAATGGCCTCTCGCATCGGCGTATCACGTATGCAGGTGTGGCGAACTTTACATGATGAAGAGTTGTATCCTTACCATGATCAAAGGGTACAACATCTGGAACCAGGCGACCATGCACAGCATATGGATTTGTACCACTGGATAAAAGCTCATCCTGAACTGTTAAGCGTCATTTTATTCAGTGATGCGGCGTCTTTTACCCTGGACGGTGTAAATAATTTACGAAATGTGCATACGTGGTCCCATAATAATCCATATGAGATAATGGAAACGAAATTCCGAAAGAGATTTTCCGTGAATGTACGTTTAATACAGTTATGTAGTCACTATGCGCAGTCAGCCATGTTACGTCAGTGCTTGCCAGTCATGTGTCATGTATAGTGCTTGGAAACCCTAAGGACAATTATGACATGGCGAGTGAGTATTTTGTACTTCAATTTTATGGCTTCATATCACTCACAAGTTAGTTTGATGTTACGTACATTATTAACATTACAGAAACCACATATTCCTGCCAGTTTTAATATGTATTTTGTAATCAACAAGTGTGTAACACCGGTCAAAGTTTCACACTTCTCTGGCCATTATCTCCGTAACCATTCAACTTTGGACATAGGTGTTTTGGATTATATCGGCATACTTTAACATAAGGAACACCCTCCCGAAGTTTTGACCATTCCTCCTGGGACACTCTGTATATCAAATTAAATTTCAAACTTCAAGCACAAATTTAGCAATTTCAGAACTGAATTGTGTTTAAGTCATTTGCATGGTAGAGAACAAGAGACTTAGGTAAATGGATATTTACATTATTTTCCTGTGATTCTGACTTGTATTTTTGTTGCCTCCCTTCATCTCCTTATTAACAAGGGGTAATAAAATATTGTAAAAAACAGCTTACGTGAAATCACTCTTGTCATGATACTCCAAGATGTAATTTTTAATTGGTGAATTTCCATCGGATTCTGGGGCTTTCCAATACAGTGTTATGGTGTTATCTGTGACCTCAATTACTTCTGGCATGCCAGGTTGAGATGGAACTTCTGTAAGGTTCATTACGAATAATACATAATTAATTTTCTTGTTATTTTATGTAAGTTTGAGAACTTGAGTGGTGTAGCTGACACATAAAGAGTGGTATAGTTTACATACATATGAATGAGGCATAACTGCTTTCCAGAACTCTTCATATAAACAACCTCTTTATTAACCGTCACAACACGACAATAATCAAGGTGTGCAAAGCCGTAGCTGGGCATTGACCTTGATATTTGCTGTGTTGTGACGGTTAATAAAGAGGTTGTATACTGTAACACAACAGGATGCATGAAATGAAAATTATCTTTATATAAACATAAGGAAAACAAATGTCTTGAACTAAAGTACATGTCATTAAGTGTTTTTAATAAATAGTTTAATTGCAATTTGGTTCAAATTGGTTCAACTGTGATGGGGTAACAAATAAGTAACAAGTAAGGAAATTGATGAAAGCATTCCACTTGTATTCTATAAGGTATAAGCGCCATTTTACTATATTTGAAATATGTATAACAAAACATTATAGCCACAATGAAAGAAAAATCTATTTGGGAATAAAACTTTATATCTACATGAATGCAGACCCATGCAGCGTGTAGTGAAATAAATATTATTGTATTTGCTGCTGGCATGATGCATTTTTAAGTCTAATTTTGTAATTCCTCTGTAATGTTAACAGGGTTCTGTAGAAATTTTTGCAAATCTAATTTAAACTTAACCATATATATTGAGTTCACTTGAAGTTAAATATAAAGCAGCCAGAAAGTGACGTGTCTGTATCACATTCTGGTGATAAACTTGATGTGACTTAAAAAATTAAGATATATATTTAATGATATATAATTGATAATATTAATGGCTGTTAATATAGCCATAATCATAAATTAAAGAAGAACTGCACAGAAAAGAGTACAAAGTATATTTTAATGAGCTATGGGACACTTAGGAATTTTCTCACCTATTAATACATAATTAGAATGATCAAATCAAGGAGGATGAGGTGGGCAGGGCATGTAGCACGAATGGGAGAGAAGAGGAATGAATGTAGAATATTGGTGGGAAAGCCAGAAAGAAGGAGACCGCTGGGAAGACCAAGGCGTAGGTAGGCAGACAATATTAAAATGGATCTTAAAGAGATAGGATGGGATGGTATGGATTAGATTGATCTGGCTCAGGATAGGGACCAGTGGAGGGCTCTTGTGAACATGGTAATGAACTTTCGGGTTCCATAAAATGCTGGTAAATTCTTGAGTAGCTGCAGATTTGGCTTCTCCTCGAGAAGGGCTCAGCTCCAAAAGTAAGTAAGTATTATTACATACCTTTTAACTGACAAAAAATGAATTCACATTTATTTACTGAATAATGTTATGAAATAATAACAACTTGGTTAATTTTCTTACCGTATAATGAATAGACTGATATCAACAGAAAAACCTGTAACTGGACCACAACTAAGGCTAGCTGAATTCATTGTACATAGGTACAACATACTTTCCAATCACCAGTTTTAACATATTGACTACCATACCCTCACAATGGGATTTTAGTTGTTAGGCCAGAAATTTCTCCACAAAAACTGTTCTGAACCTACTACATTCAAAATGGAAATGGAAGAGAATAAATAAAACAAAAATCAGTAGTCGCTGTAAATTCTGAGTCTATCAAATTTCTGTTGAGCTATATTATAGTCTTTTGCATTTATGTAACATATGCAGGAAAGTGGATCAATCTGTCACTTAATAGGACCAGCACTGGCACACTGTAAACTTCATCAGTCAGGTGACATGACTGACCACAAATGTGTTAATGTTATATTACCATTCCTGTGTCAGTGTTACTGCTTTTTTGACAGGTCTCATATTGTTAAGTATAGACCAATATCTTTGATGACATCCTTTTCTAAGATTTTTGAGAAAGTCATTTTTAACAGACTGCAATATCATATCGATGTAAATTATACAGTCCAAACCTTTAACAATTTTCCATGGGACGCTATGGTCCTCTTTAGCCATTTCAGTAGGGTGACTGGTTTATTGGGAAGATGGATTTATAAGCATGTTATGGCTTGCTTTTCGCATCTGGACAGAAACAACTGCCTTGTTTTCTTACCTGCATCTTGGGTGACCGGAAAGGGACAAGGCCACCATGGGAGGCAAGTCTGCAGTTTATTGAAGATGTAAATTTTATTTTGTTGATAAGTGTAGCTGTTATAATGGTGTCTTTGGAAGGGTGTAATTGGACTCTAAACCAAGGAATAACCGCTTTCACATGTGGGGTTCCGAGTTCTGAATCTTGGGATCTCTTTATTCTGAAAGGTCGTTATGTGACTGCGATGTGCTGATTGCATGATTAATTTTGCTAGTTAAAATCAGCCAATTGGAAACTATTCTTGTCTGGGAGAAAGGTCATTGATTCAGATCCTTCTTGGAGGATGAAGCGACGCTCTCGCAGGATAGCAGTCTTCAGAAACTTGGCGTTTTAAATTCATCGGAGGCAGACGTCATTGGGCTGCACTCCTCAAGTTCATCTAAATTTATCAGTCTTTTATTTTGGTTCGATAAATCTTTGATAGTAATAAAGGACCACATTACTCCATGCTTGCTAATGAAGTTATAGTATTTCACTGTTGAAATAAACAATCTGTGGAGAGTGGAAATCATGTCGTTGATTTCTAGCGGTGGACTGGCTTTAAGTGTGCAGTAATTTTTTTATTATTTAAGTTAAAATTTATATAAATACAACACAGCATACATAGTATCCAAACCAGACAAGGTTCAGATTTACATCATTCAACTTATAGATTAACTAAAGTCCAAAAAGGTGTCTACTGTTCCAGGATCATGATATTTAATAATTTACCACAGAATGTTAAGAACATGACAAATGATGTTAATAAGTTTAAACATGCCTTAAAAAAATTGTCCATATTGGCTCTCTATACTCATTGCAGGAATATCTAGATTGGAGAATAATGCAAAATCTTGCTTCTTATAAATAATTTATAATCTGATTGCTGATCTGATATGGTTTTTTGCGTGGCTGATGTAATCTTTTGTCTTGATTTTTATGCAGCTTTTCGTTTTGATAATCATAATTTATATGTATTGTTTACCTGTAGAATTGCCTGTATCTGTTTTTACTGATAGTATTATGATATGATGAGTCCTGTATCAATGTATTTTGATTTATGGGAAAATAAAATAAAGAAAGAAAGGTAATTAACCACCAACATATATTTAAAAATGTTTGTATCCCTATCCAAACTGTATATCCAGCCCTTTATGACATTCTTGATTTAGTCCTTGTGTTGTAATAGCAAGCTTGTCTTGCAGGCAAATTGAAAGAATAAACAGATACCGCCCTAAACACTAATTAGCTTGTTTCTATTAGTTTATAGTTGCTACACCATGCATGTTCCATTCAAATTTGATCATAAGGTATTAACATTAATTCATAAAATATCGCATAAAAATGGCAGTGATATATAATCAGAAAAATTATAACTGTCAACATTGTGCAATGTTTTTTATATAAAAATGTAAACGTACCCATTAGGATAAGTGTAAGCTCTGCTGATGCTTCTCCACAGTTGTTTGAAAGTTTAATTTTGTAGTTACCAACATCTTCCTCTTCTACTTTTCTAATTGTTAAACTTGCTGTTGTCTCAGTTAACGTTTGAGTTACCTGAAAATTTAAAAATTACTTAAAATCCATGTTGTTAGATGACAACTGCAACAGCTTTATAGTAGTACAAAGTTCCAAATTTGGAATTACTGGAACAAACATTCCATTAACATAAAGATAATTATAACACAAGGAAATACTACAATTGAGACAGTTAAAATTTAGTTTCAACACATATTTATCTGAACCAGATCTTTCTTAGAATCTCACTATGAAGAAAATAATTTCACACAGTAATTAAGAGCACATTATTATTATTAATATTACTTTTACATTTCTGTGGCAGTGTTATAACATAAAGTATTCTTTCATGCATCCATCTGTAACCATTAATGTTCTTACCCGCTGGGACTTCTTCACGAGTCTACCATTGATGAACCAGTCATCATTTGGTTTAGGCATGGAGGAATATTTCACTTCAATAGTTATATCTTCGCCCTTTTTCGCCTTATACTCTCTCTGAAGAATGTCAAGGTTTATTTTGGGCGCAGTTTCAATAACTAAAAACAAAGAAAATATAAACTTGGTACAGTGCTGCTCAAGTCATGTAGATAAGTCATGTTGTATTGCTATAAAGATTATTATATTAGACAATAAATATGAATGCAAAAGAAATACTGAGGCATAACGATTATTGTTTCTGGTAGTATTGATGGAATATCATATCCTCTATGCCGGGAACTGTACATGCATCTTTCGGTTTGCATGTAAGTGTCTCATTATTTAGGCTATCAGGACAACTGAACTACACTTCACTTAGCCCTTGTTAACCTGTGTGTACTTGTCTATAGCATATACAATTTCTGATGGCAGAGTGCATTAAGATTTCCTTCTCCAAATGGTCTCTGTATTTCAGTAAACATTTAATGGGAGTGAATGCAACAACCTGCAAGTGAATACCACTATTGGATTTTAAGGGATAAATATGAAAGAAATGAAGTATGAATGTGGTTAAGAAAAAACAAAATTTCACAATGTCTGGGGCTATGAAATGAAGAATATTCTAGTCACAATTCAATAACTTGGAACTCTGGGGCCATAATATTTCTACCATTTGGTTTATATTTCCAGAATAAGGTGCTTCTAGAGTGACCTTAAATATTACTTTCAGTGTTATTTCTCTACAATCAAGGGGACATTACAGTAAAAACACCATTTTCATAACTGGATATATATAGTTCTGAAAGACTGGCACCCACTAAAAATCGTGTTGACAAATGTAAGGTTTCCTCACACCATCTTCCTTCAAATATAAAGAACTTATTTCATAATACAAAATAATCTATATTTGCCTTAAAAATATTTCTTATTTCAAATTCATTTTACTCATTGGAAGAATATTTTAATTGCCATAGCTAGCAGCTATTCTTATGTTTGATTATGGTAGTCTTGTTTGAGATTGGTATGATGCATGTTTATATATATATATATAATAATTGTGTAATGAATTATTCATTGTGATTTGTCTTGGACAATATTAGCTACTGTGATGGATTAAGTATAATTACTTTGTAATTATGTTATTGATGTGACTTGTATTGTTTGTCATTGACTATTTCTATATCCACTGGTTTTCTAGCCATTTAAGGATCCATGGAATGTAAATAAATGAATGAATGAATGAATAAAATTTACATCTTACAAAATCAGATCACATGTTTTGCGTGTGTTCTGGGTGAAAAATAGAATTCTAGTTTCATTTAGATGAAGCTTGATTACTCACATCTTCATATTTTCTAAAATTTTGACTGCACTCTATAGCCATTTAAAGTAGAAAATGACAAGTTCAGTGTGCACAGTGTTCCTATACAAACTCAATCAGATGCTGGAGAAATTAATTTGTGCCAAATTTATGCTATAATTTGTGATTACTTACTTTCAACTTTCAGTTTTGAGCTTGTCTTCACATTCACAGCTACACAAGCATAGTCAGTTTGGTCTTCAAGACCTGCCTTCTTTATTATTAGTCTTCGTATTGTGCCTTCAGCTGTAATGATGTGTCTTTCAGACTCCTTCAACACTTTTCCCTTCCTGAAAAATATAAGTACATATGCTGTTTAATGATAATTTTTCTATGAAGCTTTAATATAAGTTTACAATTTTATTCATACAATAATAGAAGGCCACTATCTTACATTTTTATTTGTACCAACTGTTTATCACTTATACAATAGTTTTGTGAGTGATTACATTTATTCTTACTTACTTTAACCACTTTACTTCAACATTTGGTCTTGACAGTTCAACAGTAAAAGTTGCATCTGTGTAGAGTGGTATCAGTGTCACATCTGGTAGTCTTGTGATGAAATCTACCACAGGTTCTGCAAATATACAATACAACTTTTTACAGTCCATCTATCCTTCTACAGATGAAAATACTTATAATATTGTGACATGAGGGCTGAAAGCCAGAACAGTGGCATGAATAGATGTAACCATTCGTAGGCAATGGTGCTGTAAATACATCTGTGGCAACAAATAAGCATGCAACAATACATGAACTGTAGGACGCGGTGTTTTCTGTGCAGTCCATGCTGAGGCTATATAGCGAGGACCAAAGCGAAAGTTAGTCAATTGGAGGTCGGAGTCACTTGTAAGCAGGCAATCTTGACTGCACTGTTAGCAGCCACTGCCTAGCAATGACTACTGAACAAACAGATGACTTTATAAATGCTGTAGTTGTACTCATCTACATAATGTAAATTAGTAAGACTGTTATAACCATTTGTAGTTACAAGTTATAATCGTTCAAATAAATCGATTTTTCAGTTCAAACCTCATGCCTAGTCACTAATATATTACATTATTTTTGCCCCTGTATATATTAAAGTAGTCAGACTAAGTAATTAATATAGCGTTTACCAATTCTATTTACAACAAAATTCAATTGCTGTTACTTATCTGAAGTTGATATGCCATTATATGTTGCACCTGCATAGTAATTTCTAACATTTTTTATTGTCTATGAATCCCAGACATGGCAATACATCCATACAACTTTATTAACATTCAGTCACTAGTTCTGTTACGATATAATCAGTTGGTTGTTACATTCAAATCATTAGTGTTAACAAGATGATTTCAAGAGGATACCTGATGTAAAGTAATAATAGCTGCAATATTTTCAAGCAACCCAGTTAACACAAACAACTGATCACTTACCAGTCAGTCACTGATACATGATAAAATACTACAGAAAATATGTAGATTTAATTCCTTTCTCTCTTAACCTCTATTGCCTGTACATTGCACTACTGTGATGACAGTAGTCCAGTTGGCACAATGCTGAATTTTTTCCTCCTCAATACTAAAACTGTTACCTCAAAGTTAAAATACAGCTTCCAGTCCCATATTACCAAAGGTTTAAAACCTCACATTCCTGGATAAGGGTTAAATATTGTTCTGTTACATGTGTACATTGGTAATTGAATTTGTGATTAATGCACACAAAATAAAAAATTGAAAACAAAAAAACAGGTAATGAAAATTATAGAGGTATTAAATTACAGTCAACTTCAGAATTACAGAATTAGAGGCAGACATACTTAAAAATAAATTTGACTATCACAGTGAAATATTTCTAGATGAAGAAGAATGTGGTTTCATGAATAATATGCTTACACTTCAACAAATCACTGAAAGCAGAGAATTTTGCCTTCTATTGTATGTTTATTTTATTCACATATTATGAGAAGGTTTGTAATGGTTTGACCAGCGTTCCTGGCTACAGATCCAGAGGTCTGGGTTCGATTACCGGCGCTACCAGATTTTTTCTGAGAGGTAGTGGGTCTGGAACAGGGTCCAATCAGCCCCATGAGGATAATTGAGGAGCTACTTCAAGGAAGTAGCGACTCTGGTCTAGAAAACCGAAATTAACGGCCATGGGGATTCATTGCACTGACCACACGACACCCTCTATCCGCAAAAGTTGGCACTAACTTCGCCAACAAGCGGCAGTCACTCGGTCAGTATAGTTCATTTGAGGATTAAAATTATGGGAGTCTTTTTTTTTTGTAATGGTCTAACCAAGGAAGAGATATGGCACATTATCAATAAAGAAAATATACCAACACATTCCACAAAAACAATACGATGTCTATATGGAACTAAAAATTTATACCAAATGCCCACCCAACAAGATACAATTCAAAACCCATTAGGACCAATAAAGGAAAGAGAGACAGATGTGGTCTGGCATTGACTCTTATCAAAAACTAAACCAAATAATAAGAAAATTGCAACAGACTGCAAAAATGGAATCCAATTTGCATTAATAAAGAAATTCATATAATATTATATGCAGATGATGAACTATTAATAGGATAATCTAAAGACAACTTACTGATTATAGTATGCTAACAACAAAACTTCACATAAGTGTGTGAAAATTTCCACATCTAAACAAAAGTATTGGGAATGTGTGAAAGAAATATTCAAAGAACGAAAACAGACCTAGATGAGAAGTAACAGAACAAGCATTTGATTTATTTATGGGGGAAACACAATTTCAGAAGTGAAAAATATACTGACATAAAGTTACAGGGATACAACAAAATGAATTATATAATGGTAACTGAAAGAAAATTTTGTACACAAATGTCAGTGGTACAAAATTACAACTTTATAAATTCACATCAAGAATCAAGAGCAACACTTATTTATAGCAGTGACGTTTTTATTTTAAACCAATATGAATCCTGTAACTTAGAGGTAGTGTAAATGTGTGTGTGTGTGTTTTTTTTTTCACTACCAAGGTTCACTAGATTAGATCACCAAAGAAAATATGACACCAGACAAAATTTGAAAGTTATAAATATAGTTGGAGAGATATGTATAAGGATAAAAGAAAAACTGGAAATATTATTTAGAAAGAAGGGGGAAAGAGAATTCCATTACTGACTGGGGGAGAGACCAAGACCAAATTTGGATTCACAGAAATAGGGCTTAATGACCTAACCTCAAAGAGTTCATGATGATGACAATGACATGGATAAACTTGCAAAATTGTTTCCATTGGACTTTTTATATCCACATTTCCATACCCAAAATCTTATCCTGATCTCTTCAAAACTACTCATCATATTCTGCTGCACCTGATCAATTTAAGGATATTCTGACCATCCAAATACCTTCACCTCATTATAGTGATCATTCAGCAATTTTATGTTTCTTTCTTTCCAAAATGTATAAACCACCAAATACATGTATGTTACCTTATAAATTATTCTGTGATTTTCTTTAATTCCATCTGTCCCTCTTCCCTTCCTTAAGTAGGAAAGCGCTATAAAGAAATAAACCACATCAACTCAAGAGATGTGGCCCATTAAATTAAGACAAATTAAGATATACTTTGATTGTAATGCAATTCTAATACTAGTACAGGCTTGAACACCACCTATTTACATTTATAAGCCTTATTCTTTGATAATATGTGTACTACCTACTGAGACATTTTCAGTGATGTGTGCCTGCATTTGCATGCACATAAAATTAAATACACTTACCTTCAACTTTCAGTCTAGCTGAGGATGTTTGTTCACCAACTTGACAAGAGTACACACCAGAATCTTCAAGTTCTGAATTATATATTTTGAGCTTTTGTCTCTTGCCATCAATAGACAACTGGATGTGTTCTGAGAACTGGAGCTCCTTGTCATCTTTGAACCATCGCACAAGAGCATCTCCCTTGGTCAGTTCTATTTCAAATGTGGCTCTCTCACCCTTTGCAATTGTCACATCTTGCATCTTCGTAATAATTTCAGGAGGAAGTTCTGAAACAACCACATATTATAATAAATATTCATACAAAAAAGAAAAGGTTAAATAGTTCCATCCAGTGTGACTGGTTAAGATTTTCTTATTTCAATTATTCATGCCCTTACATGTTTCGGTCTTCAATTCAGTTCATTTTATTTCAAATTCAAAAATAGATCCAGATACAGGCTGGGAAACAACCATTGGATATAGAATGAGTCACAGATCAAAAAACAAACATTCCATTCCCAAAGGAACAAGTCAAGGCATTCATAATAAAAAACAAAATAAAAAGAGAACATATCAGCCATATATACAACAAAACTCCCCCGGTATAGAACTCTCAAAAGTTTCACAAGCTCTTTTTTCACTTTCATTACTCATCTATTATTTCCATAAAATCCAACACTTTAGGATGTGGAAAAGTCATATTAGATAAATAAGAAGTACAAAGGACTAAGTCAAGACATAAGAATAGAACCATAATACTGTCGCGTATCGGGCGTATATCGCGACAAATAACTTCTCGATGTATTTGATGTAGCGAATTTTATTTCACATTCGCTCATACAATCACCCAAGTTACTGATTTACGATTACTGCTATCTGCAGTATCACAATTAGTACACTCCAAATGCCACAATACAACTGACTGGCTGACTGACTCTGAATACAACTCGGCGACTGTTACAGTACAACTGACTGTGAATAGCCTTCGCTTCTCCCTATGTAGCCTCGATCGGACAATACGGCCACGTAATAGGCACCCTTGTTGTTAGCCACGCTGTCCAGTTACGTCACCACTGTTGATTCGCCTTGCATAGTTACCCGGTTACGGGGCTCGGCTATCTTCGGCTCCGCTCGTGACGTCACCGCGCATGGCTGCCAGGATGCGAGGTGATTACTCGCCTATTATGCGAGCGATACGTTACCGCTGGGGGGTGGGAGGGGAGCGCTGACTCACCCGCCGCGTCACTGCTGGTGTGGGGCTCGGG